TAGATAGATCCTTGTCCCTTTTATGATGCATGTACTGATACTTTACTTACACTCCCTTCATCTTCGTTGGGCAATGTAATTTATTTCTAGCATGGTACATTTGGTGCTGAAAGACTCATTGGTACATTTTGTAGTTCTCTTTTAGAAGTGGTGTGTTAATTATTTTGTGCCCTGCACAACTCTATTAATTAGGACTGATATACATCTCATTTCTGCCCACCTTGCATTAGCAATGTATTCTTGCCTAAATCTTTCCTCCTGCAAGGATATATATGTTCTTTGGCAAGGTAGATATCGATCAAGGAGAGGCTTTCTACCACTGTTGCAATTTCCACACTTCATGAGCTATTCTCATTTTACAGTTATACACATGCTTGCTATATTTGTACCGCCACTACATTTTGATGTTACCAATTATTATTTTGCAGTGTATTCTCTAGATGCTTCAGTAGCAGATGATTATTTATGTGATTTTTCTATTCGTGAATGAGTTGAATGAAGATGCCGCTGATGGTGTTGGGCTTCGAATCTCTACAAACTCTCTCTTGAGGAGACAAGACAATTTTACTTCAATTAATTTTGAAGTAGAAGCCAAGAACATTAGAGTTGCTGCTTGCTGCTTCTGCTCACCCGGTACATCATCTCAAATTTGAGCAGTATTTTTATGCATATATACATCTCTTTCTATGAAGCCAAGAACATACGATATTTATGATGTACTGCATGTTTTCATAACAAGTTGTAGCTTTATCCCTTGTTTGGATTGTGTTAAGAACTGTGCATGTTTGCACTGTGTGCATCGTCAGTACGTCTTCAGTTTTTATTGATCGACGAAATCCCCCCTTAACAAAAGTAACTCTGTCTCACGTGCTTCACAAGCTATGACTTTGCAATGCCACTACCAACCTCGTCACACTTGTCTTGAAACTGAGTACAACAACTAAAATTTAACTTGTTCAATGGATGAACGACTAAAGGTACATCTTATATTGATAGCAATTCGTCTTGTAAGCACCTGGTCCTATACAACTTAGGATAATTTCCCCTTTTTGTCCTCCTTACTAAATTTAGAAATGTATTCTGTCTTGCTTATTTCCTTAAGCAAGTTCTCCGGCAAGCTGAAAATGCCACCTTTTCCCTCAAAACAAAAGATGAACAAAAAATCCGTTTCCCTTGAAAAAGAAAAATGATTCAGCTGCTACGCTAGATCATAGGCAGAACTCTTCATAGTTAAGCCCTCCACATTTTTTCAGTGGTCAGGATGTTGTTATATACGCTTACACTTCATTGCAGTTTACTATACAATTGCAAAATGTCATTACTAAAATTTGATGTCACCGACGATTTGCAGTACAGCTCTCCGTATGCTTGAGTGTTTGGAAGTTGGAACAGAGACACTCCCTGTTCATGATTGGGCTGCATGATGATGATGACAATCCTGGTCTTGGGCATCCAAATCTTTGCACCATGTCTCCGAATCTCCACCTGGACACAAAGACATCTGTTATTAAGTTCCGATTTATTTAGTTATGTAAGCAATAATTGTACTGGTTTTAATTAGAGGTTTGAGCTAGCCCGATGTTTCTTATTTATCATAAGTTCCGATTTATTTAGTTATGTAAGCAATAATTGTACTGGTTTTAATTTGAGGTTTGAGTTAGCCCTATGTTTCTTGATTATCATCGTAACAATGAGTTGTACGTAATGCGTGAGTAGCCATACTTGACTCTCGCTTATTGTTTTCTCTCCCCGTGCCCCCACTAGGGTTCCCCCGCGCCCCTTCCGCCGCCGCCGCCCCTCCCGCCGCCGCCGGTCGTCGGCCCCGCCCCCCGCCTCCGCCCCCCTTCCGCCCTACCCCCCCTCCGTCTTGGCCGCCTCACGCCGCCTCCCCGGGAGGTGGCCGGGGCGGAGCTCGCGCCCCTCGCCCGCGGGACCCCGCCCTCCCCATCTCCCCCCGCCGCTGGCCCGGGTGGTGCCGGCGGCGGCGGGCCTTCCAGTCCCCGTGCGCCCGTGCTCCCTTCCCGGGGCAGGGAGGCGGCGGCGGTGCAGCCCGGCTTGGCTGCGGTCCGGCGGCCCTGCGGTGGCGGCCGGCGGCCGGCGTGGTGACGGCGCCGCTCCTTGGCGGCGGGGCGGCGTGGTGGTGCCGGGTGGCCGTCGACGCGCCCCCGGCCCAGATCCGGGCACGTCGGGCCCCATCTGGGCCCCTGGGGGCCGTCCCCCCGGCATGGTCTCGTTGTCTGCGGCGCGGTGAGGAGGAGGAGCGGCTCGGACTTGGGGCGTCGGCGCCAATGGCGTGCCGGCAGCAGCGCGAAGGCGGGAGCTTTATGGGCCCACGAGGGCTCGGCCGGGCCTGTGGGCCTACGGGCCTGGTGTGCTCCTGCTATTGCGTCCGGACGGCTACTGTCACTGACGGTGGAGGTGGGGCCCTCCCGCGTGCCGATGGTGCTGATGCCCTAGTCCCGGCTCTGATTCTTCATCGTGCTGTTCTCACTTCGCGGTGCCGTGGTGAGACGGCGTGGAGGCCTCATGACCGCGTTGGCGTTGGGTGGTGGTTGGTTTGGTGGCGGGATCCGGAGCGCCCGAGGTGCGGGTTGGGATCGGGGAAAACCCCTGTCGGCGTGGCCGACCCCGGCGTGGTGGCGCCTGTGGGTGCCGCCTGACCTTCCGGGAGGGCGTCGGGGGCTACTCTTCCTATCGCCTCGTCGTGTACCGGGGGAAACCCTTGGCAGCAGCGTCGTCATCGTCGCGATCCTTCTTGGAGGTGTTGATTGGTGCCGGCGCTTCGGAGTCTTGGAGCCTAGTGGATGAGACCGGTGGGCCTAGCGATCGCGAGGCTTCTTCGTTTTTGTTGATCCGCCGTTGTCGGCATTTGTTTCTTTTGCTCTTTCTCTGTTGTTTCTTTTGGGCGTGGCTGTGCTGCTTCCGCCCCAGCACCTATCCCTGTATGATCCGGTTGGTTGCTTTGTATACAAAGCGGGGGATACCCTTTTTCGGTAATGCGTGAGTAGCCGAGCTGTTGTATGTCACTGAAAACTTTTCATGAAATGTCCCCGTCACATTTATGTTGTGAAATGCTATGGATTTCCATCTCTTGATCATCCAAGTTGCTGTTCAAAAACATGTGGCGTCTTTTTCAATAGTACCAGCAATAATCCATGGTTTCAACATTTTTAGTGGTGAGAGCATCTATGACCAGGCTCCTCAAACTTCTCTCAAACGCTCAGGCGGGACAGCTGACCGGTCAAAAAACACCGACCCAGATGGGCGCCGCAAGCCGGCCTCAAACGTCCGGGCTGACCGGCACCACTAATATCCAGTCCAAATATGAGGTGGATATCGGGTGGCCTAGATGTGACCATGCGCGTCTGTCACGTCGGACCCGGCCCACACTGGCCCATCCGACCCCATATATATCCATCCCCATCCGCTTCCCGGACCAAACCCTTGCTACCCCACTCCACTTCCCTCCAGTCCACTCCACCACCCAAGTTTATGTCCGACGATCTCCTATCTTCTTCAGGATGGCGTGCAGCGGATCCGAGTCCTACACCTCCAGATTCATTGACCCGGAGCTCGTCCCACATGGCCCCGTTGAGGAGATGATTGCCAACCTTGCGCTTCACCGCTCCGGGGAGGCTGCCCGACGGCACCGTTTGGAGTCCTTCTGTCGGGAATCCATTGCGTCCGCCCAAATGGCACATGGATCTGACGCGAGGTGTTTTGCCTCTGCCTCACTGGAGGCGGTGCAGACCGTTTGGCGTCCGAACGGGGTGGCGGATGCGCAACCGCTTCGTTGGTGCGCCGAGACGGAGGTGAACACATGGGCGAGGCAGCAGGCGCGGGAGGCAGCGGCGGACCTTGGCGAGGCAGAGTCACATTCTCTGGTGCCCCGTATGGTACACGGCCATTCCAGGCACTCGCGTCGTAGTGGACTTCACCGACTCCGGACTCTGGTCAATACTGTCAGCGAACGCACGTCTGCGTTCGTTTCAGGGGTCGGATTTGCTGTATCCGGATGTAGATGCTCGGAATGAATGGATGCATGCTGGAGTAGGTGGGTCTTGATGGTCGTGGCAATCGCAATCTTGAGAACGTTCTCCGTCCTCTTTTGGGCCATGCGTGCCTTCCACTCCTTTTCTGCACAATGACGATAGGCTGCACACGACTGGCACTCCGATAGCAGCCACAACTCACGTACGCGTGATCAGGAAGATAAGCCAAGTCAAGTGCAGCGTCAGGTACGCGTGTGGCTGGCCAATACACACACACCGCACCACACACGCATACTAGATAACTTCCATCCTCTCCTTGCGGCCCTGCAGTTTGCGTACGCGTTTTGGTGAAGGATTGCCACAGACCGGATTGCTCCACTCTCGTGCTATTGCTCTGCTCTGCCCGCGCGCCCTCGTCTCTCGGTGTCCGAGCTACACCACACCCACTCTCGCGCTACTGCTCTGCTCCGCTCTGCTCGCCCCTACTCCTCGATCGCCGGCACGGTGCCCGGGTTACGACGTCGCTAGCCGTCTTCTGCTGCAGATAGAATCCCGCCAGGTACGGCCGGCATGGGCTTATTCGGATTAGCGAATCCTCTTTTCAGTGTGTAGGTTTAGGTTGGCTACGCGAATTTTCCTCTTCACTGCTCATGAATTCAGTGGCTTCAATGCAGAATTATCGACAGATCAAGCTCTAAGCAAGCAAGGATGCCGCGGGTCCGGTGAGAGTGGCGACGGATCCAGCTGCAACCGCACTGCTCCGAGTTGCAACTAGTGAAGAAATTCCAGACCCCGCTAGGCTAGGTACTCATATGCCTCTTACAAAAGTGAAGAAAAAAAAAGAGCTCCCTCGTATATATGCTTGCTCCCACGTACGCTGTCGATTTGTAACTTCTTCAGCCTCTGGGTGAGTGGCGTAAGTATGACTAATCCATCCTCTTTTCAGGGTCTAGACTTGGCGCAAACTTTCCTGTTCGATCACTGGCCGTGCATTCGAGCTTTTAGGCCATGGAGGCGGCTCTGGTGACTGTGGCCACGGGGGTCCTCAAACCTGTCCTGGGGAAGCTGGCCACCCTGCTCGGCGACGAGTACAAGCGTTTTAAGGGTGTGCGCAAGGAGATCAGGTCTCTCACTCATGAGCTCGCCGCCATGGAAGCTTTTCTCCTCAAGATGTCGGAGGAGGAGGAGGATCTCGATGTGCAGGATAAAGTTTGGATGAATGAGGTGCGGGAATTGTCCTATGACATGGAGGATGCCATCGATGACTTCATTCAAAGCGTTGGTAACAAAGACGAAAAACCAGATGGCCTCATTGAGAAGATCAAGAGCTCTCTAGGGAAGTTGGGAAATATGAAGGCTCGTCATCGAATCGGCAAGGAGATTCATGATCTGAAGAAACAGATCATTGAGGTGGGTGATAGGAACGCAAGGTACAAGGGTCGTGAGACCTTCTCCAATACCAAAAATGTGACCGTTGACCCTAGAGCTCTTGCTATCTTTGAGCATGCATCAAAGCTCGTCGGAATTGATGAACCCAAGGCTGAGTTGATCAAGTTGTTAACTGACGAGGATGGAGTTACATCAACACAACAACAAGTGAAGATGGTCTCCATTGTTGGATCGGGAGGAATGGGCAAAACAACTCTTGCAAACCAAGTGTATCAAGAGCTGAAAGAGAAATTCAAGTGTAAGGCTTTCATATCAGTGTCACGAAATCCAGATATGAAAAATATCTTGAGAACCCTCCTAAGTGAAGTTGGGTGTCAAGATTATGCTGACACCGAAGCAGGGAGCATACAACAACTAATAAGGAAGATTACCGACTACCTAGCAGAAAAAAGGTATTATATATTTCTTTAAATTTACTTATCACCCATAGAAAGTTAAATCAAGAATTCTCGCATAGAAAAATACACTCCTAATTAAGAATCAAAATAAGTAATTATATACTTTTTAGGAGAAAATTAATTGCCAAATGTATGGAAGCACTTATTTGCATTACTTTACTAGTTAACTAGGTTGTTGCATTTGGAGGGAAAATAAGTCTTATATAAGCAGTAAGAACATATGATTAGTATAGTTATTCGGCACGTGTGTGCATCTCAGAATGCATATAGACTAAAAGACAATCTTTTCCGCAATAAAGAGATAGCATCAATCTTCAATCAAGCATGTATGCTACACAATATGTACTACTCCAAAATGCTTAGAGCTCTTTTTCTCTTATATGGCCTATCTAGGAAAACATATTTTGTTTAATAAGCACACGTTTATATGAGTAGAAACACTATATAGGTGTTTTCTGGTCATGTGGCCCTGTTTAAGTTGCATAGAGCCGATCCATTTATCTTTTGCATGTTGCCAATGAGAACATGGAAATTTCCGTTTCTTCTTCTTTTGCTGTATGCTTCATTTTAACACATCATACTAACTAATACTACTAAAAAATCATGTGCAGGTATTTTATAGTGATTGATGACATATGGGATGTTAAAACATGGGATGTTATTAAGTATGCATTTCCCATGACCAGATGCGGTGGTGTAATAATCACCACTACTCGGCTGAGTGATGTTGCATGTTCATGTCATTCATCAATCGGTGGCCATATTTATAATATAAGGCCTCTTAATATGGAGCACTCAAGACAGCTATTCAAAATAAGATTATTCAGCTCTGAAGAAGATTGCCCTTCATCGCTCGTGAAAGTTTCTAATCAAATCTTGGAAAAGTGTGATGGGTTGCCTTTGGCAATCATTGCTATAGCTGGTTTGTTGGCTAACACAGGAAGATCAGAGCATCTATGGAACCAAGTGAAAGATTCAATTGGTCGTTCACTTGAAAGGAATCCTAGTGTCGAAGTAATGATAAAGATATTGTCACTTAGTTACTTTGATCTTCCTCCGCATCTAAAAACATGTCTCCTGTATCTCAGTATATTTCCGGAAGATTCTATTATTGAGAAGAAAATACTAATATCAAGATGGATTGCCGAAGGATTCATTCACAAAGAAGGTAGATATACTGCATATGAGGTAGGAGTGAGGTGTTTCAATGAGCTCGTCAACAGGAGTTTGATCCAACTTGTGAAGACAAATAGTTTTAAGGGGAAGAGCTGTCGAGTTCACGACACAATTCTTGATTTCATAGTATCCAAGTCTATTGAAGAGAACTTTGTTACTTTCATTGGTGTCCCCAATTTAACTACCATGGCACAAAGCAAAGCCCGTCGTCTCTCCATTCAAGTTGAAGCGGAAGGGATGCCGATGAACCTGATATTATCTCATGTCCGATCACTTAACGTGTTCGGGAATACAGTGAATATTCCTTCGATCATGGAGTTTAGGCATTTGCGTGTCCTTGATTTTGGAGGAAACAGACTATTGGAAAACCGTCATCTCGCGTATGTAGGGATGCTGTTTCAGCTAAGGTACCTCAATTTTTACGTGACAGCAGTAAGTGAGCTCCCGGAACAAATCGGACACTTACAGTGCTTAGAGATGTTGGACATCAGGCGTACAGAGGTGTCTGAGTTGCCAGCCAGTATTGCCAATCTCGGCAAACTTGCACACTTACTTCTTAGCTCAAATACTGGCACAAATGTTAAGTTTCCCGACGGAATTGCTAAGATGCAAGCACTGGAGGTTTTGCATAGCGTTAACACCTGCAATCAGTCATATAACTTTCTGCAAGGGCTTGGTCAGCTAAAGAATCTGAGGAAACTGGGCATTAACTATCGGGGTGTTGCCCATGAAGACAAGGAAGTTATTGCTTCTTCTCTCGGTAAACTATGCACACAAAACCTTTGTTCTCTAACTATGTGGAATGATGATGACGACTTCTTGCTAAATACATGGTGCACTTCTCCGCCGCTTAACCTCCAAAAGCTTGCCATATGGGGTTGTATATTCCCAACAGTTCCGCATTGGGTAGGATCACTCGTCAACCTACAGAAGTTACACTTGGAGGTGGGGAGAGGTATCCGGCATGAAGATATCTGCATCCTTGGAGCCTTACCCGCTCTGCTCACTCTGGGTCTAGAAGGAAGAGAAAAAGAGCCTTCTTGTGAAGACGGAAGGCTGGTAGTTAGTGGTGAAGCTGGGTTCCGATGCTTGAGGAAGTTTAATTACTGGAGATGGGGAGATTGGATGGATCTTATGTTTACGGCAAAATGTATGCCCAAACTAGAAAAACTGAAGCTTATATTTTACCGGCATGCCGAAGATGAGGCTCCCATCATTCCTGCTTTTGATTTCGGGATCGAAAACCTGTCCAGCCTCACTACTTTCAAATGTCACCTAGGTTGTAGGCCTATGACAACGAAAATTGTTGACACTGTAAAGGCTTCTCTGGACAGAGTAGTCAGCGCACATCCCAACCCCATTACTCTAATCTTCAGTTATTGTTGTGTGGTCTGTAAGGATTTCTGTGCTGGTCGATGCCTTCTGTCTAAAAATCTTCAGTCATCCTCCGAATCTACTTGAGTAGAGTCAAGACCATGCGTACGTGCTTAATTTATCTCCTGATTAATTACTTATACAACTAGTACGAACGCACTGACAACCTCTCTTAATTCCCTTGCCCCTGTATTTTCAGGTTTGTCGGACACACGGTATATACCATCACTGCTACATGCAGTCTCAAGACTAACCACTGCACTCCTGACGGATGCGCTCAGGTTCTTCTCAAGCCCTGCAGGTACATACACAACTCTCTGTTTAAACTGATTTGCTATTGTTTCTTTTACATTGGCCGCAGCGTCCCTACATAGATACCTGCTCTTTCAGAGAGTATGCATGTGAG